GTGATACAAGGGACGTCCTAGGGACATCCTACCAAGGATCATCCCATGCGGAATAACGAGGTCAAAATAGAACGTCCCAGGGACCATTTCTTTTTGTTGAGGTGCTAAATACTAAAAGCGGTTTCAAAACCCGAGCTAATTTTGAATTTTTGCTTTATATATGATTATAGAAATTCCTAAAATGATGATTGATGTAGAAAAATGCGTAATTTAAAGCTCTCTCCCGCAATGATAACTAAAACTTTGAAGATCACTCGGTTCTTAAAATATGCACCAAAGGCTACGAGTGGTTCCAAAACCCGCGTTAAATTTGGATTTTCTCATTTTACGTGATAACTACAAAAGTTCCTAAAAACCATTTGGTGTAAAAAAAGAAACCCTGCTTAATCAATGAATTGGAAGACGCTCTCAAAGAGTTGTATTTAGCTACAATTGTTGGTTACACCAGAACGGCGCATCCGCCTTTAACTCAAGAATTAGCAAAAATATTTGCTTTATATTATATAAATGTTTGATAATCCATCCAAACTGTTATTTTTCCTGTAACATCCTGTTTATTAATAAATATGCTCTCCAATAATTAACTTTTCCTAGTTTTTCTTCTACCAATTATCGTATTATATTTGGATTAATAGGCTCACAGCAACGAATCACAATCTATTCGGCAATGAAAACTAAAGATTTGCAGCTCAGCCGATTCTCTCAAAATGAGCCAAATTCTAAAAGCGGTGCTCAACATCCCGATTAATTTCAAAATTTCGCATTTTGGGTAAAAACCAGAATCACTCCGTAAATGTAATTTTATATAAAAATTAAACAATTTAAGGCTTCAAAACTGGCGATAATTTTGAATTATCGCATTTTGCGGGATAACGAGGCACCTTCCGAAAATAATGTTTGGTTTAGAAAGTGAGTAAATTATTTAATACATAACATTAAATAATTTTATATTTAGTGGCAAGTAATTTGGAGAGAAGCAAAATCGTATTTCCCTTAAAAATTAAATATTTGAAAAATTATTTGAGATATAGAGTAAATATGATGTAAATATTAAAAATTAAAATAAAAAACCTATAAAACTCGTTCAACGCAAATTTTCTGAAAAGCTAGATATTTGCGAATTATCGGATTAATTTTAAATTTCTGTAGAAACTAGAGCCTACAAATAATCGTAAAGTCGATCTTATTTACTTAAAGTGATGTGAAATCCAGATGATAGTAAATGACGAGTTTATTTTTAAAGTTGCGCATTTTACGACCAAAAATCGACATTTTGAAAATTTTGGATAAAACTTCGAAGTAGATCCAAATTCTGTAAAAGAAAACATTGACAAAATATTTGCAGACCGGAAATAATTTGGCATTTTCAGGCAAAAATCTGAAGATTTGCGATTTTTTTGAAACCAGACTGAGGTAAAACTGTACGCGTATGTATATTTTATCCTAATTTTGTTATTTTTCTTCCGATGTCCAAAATATTGCCCCATAAACATAAACCAGCTTTAAAACTCATTTGAAATTTTAAGGCTCCATCCTGCAATGCTCGAGCCTCGAGGTTGATCGGTTGTCACGACCAGTGCTGATTGACAAAGTCGTTTGAGGCCCGCAAAACGTTACAATACTCAGAAATCGACGAATCAAATAGGGATGACGGGCATCAGACAGGCAATTAATAACATACGTAGCCTTAATTGACAATGCTATAAAAAATTTATTTCTAAATAGACTTGTTTTATACGTGATACATCCGCTAGCTTGAGCAGAGAGAGCAAATATACAATACGATACAGAAAATGTGTTTTTGGCAGTTCTTTTAAAATAATTAGCCCTTTGTGCGATCTGTTATGGAAAGGACAGATAGAAATCAAACATCATTGACACCTCAAGTGGCGCAATGAGCTCGACTGAATGTCTTAAGTGTAATCGGCGGTAACTTTCTTTGAAATACAATCGAGCAATGCGTCAAAAAAATTCGGAAATCCGTCGTACCCTGAAACAAAATGAAGTTAGAAGTAAATCTTTTGAAATGGATCGCAAATCTTACCCGGATACGCATTGACATCAATAATTGCATACCGTCCACTCGTATTTTCTATCACAACATCGATTCCTAGTAAGTCCATTCCAAATGACTTCCTCAGCGTATTTGCTATAACTTCGATTATTTTTGAATCCGGATTTCTTTCTTCAATTTTTATCACATCGTCRGGATCSAGAACCGACAAGCGGCTTTTTGAATCCGCCTTTGAGACATCGCTGCTGTCAAAATGGATCGACTCTCTTTGGCTGGCTTGAAAGTTCTTCAATGAMGGTCGCTCAAAATAACAATGCCTGTCGCCAACTATGAAGATTTTATATAAAATCGCATTGTGATTGATAAAACTCTGTGCCACACAGGGCGTTTTGCAGTCTCCGAGATATTTTTCATTAAAAATAATCGACATTTCGTGAGCTTGTCTAGAGCCATGTCCCAGGATTGGTTTACATATAAAAGGGTAATTGACTAGTGAATGTATTAATTCGCCCTTAATTATGTCCAAATCCTCGTTCCTAAGTACACAGAAGTTGGGAGTAAACACTCCGTAGTTGTGCAAGTTGGTGCCGTGAATCAGGCTGTAACAGTTATACCTATCTAGTAACCGTTTCACTTTTGCAATTGGGTCCAGAACTGTGACTGGCGGATTTTCGGATACCACATAGTTCTCAATTCCCTGGATTATTTTAATACTCTGAAAAACAAAAATTATAAGCAAGGCCTACTAGGTGAAAATCGTTTGAAATCAACATGTACAACATACAGGGCAAGGTGAGCTGTAGCTGTATGAATTTTGACACCTGTCAAAAGATTTTTGAAAAAAGCCAATTTATCACATATTTTCAAATAACTTCTAGTTCCGTCATTATTAATCTGACAGGAAAATATTAAATAGGAAAGTTGTAGGAAATTGCATTCCAAATAAAATGTGGGAAACAATTAGTGTGAATTTCAGACAAAATTCTCAGGTTTTGGATCGGAGGAAATTTTAGAGCAAAAAATCAAGTGTATTTTCGGCAAATTTCCTGCACAGGGCGTGGGATATGGACCAACTACACGAGAAAGAGTGGTCAATTGTTTTGGGAAAAATTTCCCAACCGAACCAGGGGAGGGAAAGAACGGTCACTTAGCACCTGAACCCAAAAATTTAAAAAAATCCCTCGTAACTCGCGTAGTTTTCATTTTGGTGAAAAAGTGAATACCGACTGTTTTATGGTTTCCTTTGGAGGCAAAAGAATGAAATGAGAATTTCGTGGCAAATTCCCAGACAGGGAAAATT